GTAGGATTTGTGTAGATATAAGGCATCAATACAAAATATGGTTATTTTTTTCAAATATAGTAATAATCACATTCTTGTCTATTAAAAAAATGGATTTTATGATGGTCTTATTTTATATAACAAATATTTTATTGCTAAAGAAATGAAGAGTTTAAATAGCTAATAATAGATAGTTGATATGGTAGATTACATTTACATTAAGGTACCTTGGAATTTTATTTAAAATAATAAATATTTTTGTTATATATATATATATATATATATAATATTATAAATAAATTGAGTACATATAATTATATAGAAGAAATGATATATATGTATTTAGGATTTATACCTTAATGCACAATATTTGGATGTTTATGAATACTAAATTGTAAAAAATCTTTGTGTGTGGCTTTGAAAAAAAAAAAAAAAAAAATTTAGATAGTACTATTTAGTTAATTTTTTATTTACTTTTTTTTGGTTTCTTTCATCTAAATATAGAAACCAGAAACTTTAAGCAATTTTTATCTACTCTTAGTATAGTTATGTTAAGCTTCTCTACTAAGCACTTATATTATTCAATGTAGAAACTGTAAAATATAATAAGGTTACTATTATGTACTTTCACAAATTATTCATTTTTTTGTATATTAAAACTTATAATTGACCAGAATATATATATATATATATATATATATATATATATATATGTTTATAATGAGCATACTGAATTAATTAATGTATCTAAATATCATTATAGTTTATTTGCATTTTGTGTTTGATGCAAATATCTTTGGGTGTTGATTCTACAAACTTGATTTGTTTTTGTTTAGTTTTTTTTATTTTTATTTTAATTTTAATTTTTATTTATAAGTCCTTTATATTATTTTATATAGATAGTATCACTATCATGATTCTTGTGCATGTTTATATTCAACCCTCCAAATTAAGGTTTGAAATAATATGTATGTCAAATTTCTTCAACTTTGATGTCCTACTTTTTCTTTTTATGAAAACATCTTATTAATGTATTTTAGGTTTCACTAAAATTTTGCATAATGAAAAGTATTTTGAATTTATAAATATTAATACATAGGTATTTTTTTAAACAATGAATTTTTATATTTTAATTTTAAATATTAGGCAATTTTAATAAATTTTTTGCACTTATACTCATACATATTTATTATTTCAAAGGTTTTTTATAACCATTATAGTCCAATAAGTCTTAAATGTATATAAGCAAGTATAGTTCTCCAATTTATAAATGTGCACCTATATAGAATACTTGTATTAAGAATTCAATTGAATTATTATATGTTAATTAAGACAAATTCATTAGTTGATGACATTTTAATATATCTTAAGTGTTTATTTTTAAAAAAGTTCAAGTGATAAAAAAAATTAAATAAAAAGAAACTATTTTTGATCAAAGACATATGTTTAACTTATTAATAGTATGTTTTAATTCATAATTGTTATAGAATTGTATATAAATTTATGTAAAAAAATGTAAATGATCATTTTAATGTTAAAGTTCATTAAGTACAAATAACCAAACATAGTGTTTAATAGGTTAAGTTGTAATATATCTTGAGTCTTGAAGAAAAATCTTCTTTAAAATTTTTATAGTTTGTTGTTAGGATTTTGTAGTTGACATTGATAAAATTAATGAATGTACATGTATGCGAGCTATTTTTATCTCTCAAAGGATTTATTATTATTTACAAATGCCCTACTTCTCAATTCTACATACACATGCACCATGGATCTTTTGGCAAGTGCCACATGGAATATGTTATTTGAATCACTACTAAATTTTTTCTTAGATTCTTGAGTTTGAAAGGGAACTAATGTTAGATTTTCCTTAGGCACACTTAAATAGATTGTATAAGAGTGTTAACATATGGTGACCGAAATCCAATTTTAAAATAAATTATGGAATGAAGTTGTTAGATGTTAGGAGCAAACACAAAATTAAAAGTAGAAGCACTTAGACATTGTGGTAGCTATTATCACTTAGCCAAATACTAACTATTAGGTGTGTATGTGAGTGTCTATTAAATATTCAAAAATAAAAAATCATGATTGGCTTGTCAAATATGGTATCATAGATTCTATCCAATTTTTTTTATCAAAGAAGTGACAAATTTGTTATAGTATATAGTGATAACAACTTGGTCTTTTTAAAGAGTACATGTGACCCTATGGAATACTTGTACATTATTCTATACTTTTTCTCTACTAAATACTTGCATTATTCAATATAAAAACAACAAATTGCAATGAGATTACTTTTATGCACTCTTACAAATAATTGATTTTTTTTACATACCTAGAATTATTCTTAACCAAAATAAAAATGTTTTTTGATAAGCATACTTTTTTGGTTTATGTACCAACCAATCATTATAATGTATGTCCATTTTCTATGTAATGCACGTTTCTGTGGCCTTGAATTTTACTAGTCTCTTTCTACTTTTTTTTTTTTTTTTTTTTTTTTTTTTTTTTTTTTTGTTCCATTGTATAATGTTGTGCAGTAAATATCATGAAGATTGTTCTTTTATAAATTGGGGTTCAACTCTCTAAAGTTATTTTTTTTGAATAACCAACATGTTGGACTTATTTAAGTTTGATGCTCCAATTTTCTTAAAATTTCTAAATAACGTCTTTAGTTCCCACTTTGATATTTTATGTGGCACAATATAATGAAAAAGAAACTACTAATGTTGCATAAAAACGTTATTATAATACATACATATTTTAAATTTTCTGTAAAAGAATATTTTGATCATATCAATCAATCTTGAATCTGAAAACTCCTTCCAGTGAGTCAAGTGAATCCATAATATCGGTGCTTTTGATCATCAATTAACTTTCTTTGTTAAAATTGAAACTTGCGAAATAGCTAGTCAGGAACATGTACAACATCGTGAAGTCTTATTGATAATCTCTTATAAACTTGAAGCCAGAGAAGCACAGTCAATCCCCACATTCCTCTCATGCTACAGCTTGTCGAAGACGAAATACATTACAAGTTAATAGTATCCTTCAATATGTCTTATAGAAAAATGTTCGGGTACTTGCTGGCTCAGAGTAGATAACGAAGCAACCAGCATGCTGGTAAATCTCTGATACTCCCATGTGTTTCAGTTCCTCTATTAGTGGGGAAAGCACGGTATACAAAATGCCACGATTGAAATACGCACAAATCTATCAACGTAACTCCCATCAGGCCAGACTGAAGAATATTTCTGTTGTTGCACACAGTTTATCACTGGGGTATTGGAGCTCTCAGTACTTGATTTACTCGTCATAACACACAACTAACAGAATAAAAGACCAGACATATATTTCCAGCGGCTACATCATTCGTAGCACACGCAGATAATTGAGACTCTGAAAACTCCAATTCTCGGATCTATGAAAACCGACTGCGGTAAATTCCGTTTGTTTGAATTTAGTTTTTCCTTCCCTCGGCCAAGATGATGTGATACCCGTGCCTATTACAAGCCACGTAATTTCTGTTAGAGAATTTGCATGCGGCTCCACTTTTGGCACGTTTGCAAGACAAGAGTGGAACAACTTGAATGGAGAGGACAGGTGAACTCACGTAGACTTAAAAGGGGCACTTAATACACCAGGAGGGGTATTGAAGGCCACCTCCTGGAAAGGTCCAGCCATCTTGCCACGAGGAAACCACCCGAGGTCTCCTCCTTTCTTGCCTGATGGACATTCTGAGTATTCTGCCGCTAGCTGCATGAGTACAAAACCAAACTACAAATTATGAAATGCTCCACTGAAAACGCCATTCGATGCAGAAATTTATGCAACGCTCGTGGCAATATTTTATGGTTGAGTCGACACGATTCTCAAGGAACAAGACAAGGTTCTCAAACGCATGATTAGAGAAGGTAATAATGAAGTTATTAATGTCTGAATGCAGAGAGCTAAGTAGCATTAACCTTCGCGAACTCAGCTGGTGGAACTTTATCTCCACTATCGAGCCATCCCTCCTTGAGCTTCTTGTACGCTTCATTAATCTTGCCCTGCTTTTCACATAAAATGTGTCTAGCTGCATCATCTCACACCATTTTCTTGGTCACTCACTTGAAATAAGGTGAGAACATTCAAAAACATGTACCAGATGCTTGTAAGTATGAACTTATTTTCTTAAATGTGCTCGACACTACGTTCGTGGACTGAACCCTAAACCCTGCCCTACCTGTCTGAAAATTAAGGAAGAATCCATTACTCAGACAAGAAATTCACTAGAGAAAGATGCTGAGGCTATGAAGAATTCACGTACTGGGTAATCATGTACGACCATATATATGAAAGGCAAGTCACAAACATCGCAATCCGATTAAGTTTAAATATGGCAGAATAGGTCAGAAATCCCAGACAGACACCCTACCCCAATACCTTTCACGTAGGTGCAAGTCCCAAGCTCATCTTTGCCGGCCTTCCCCTTCCCCTTGCCTCCCTTCTCTTCACTCGCTGCAGCCTTACCCTTGCCGGCGTCCTTGGTCTTCCCCTTGTTAGCCGTCGAATCTTTCCCCATTTTCCTGCACCTTTACTCACATTGCCACAAGGCATCACATCACCTAAACCAATCGTTGGACAAAAAAGTCAATAACAAAACCCATCCATTGCCGAAACCCTCAAAAATCCACCGATGATCACCAAAAATTAAAAACTAAAAAGAAAATTTTAAAAAAAAAGAAAAAAAAGAAAGAAGTCCAGACATCCCCTAAAAATCTAATCAAATCACACAAGCTCCTGAATATCACAACATCTCCACGAACTTCAAACTGCAAAGACACAGCTACAATCCTTCGATAACGGACACGATTTCAGAAACGCAAAATCACTCAGTTCGACGACCCGCAGATGATTGGGTACCAGGAAACAATTTGCAAAAATGACGACAAACCCAACTTCCAATGCTAACTTATCAGCACGTAGAAGAATTAGCAGGTGATGAATACCAGATATCGATGTCAATGGACGCGTGCGTTAAAAATTGGCGACAACGAATTCGGCGATGGCGCTCGCACTGAACGGCATTGAGTGGGGTGCAGAGAGGACGATGGCCGAGCCTGCAGGTCTGGTTCTAGGTTCGGTGATATTTTCTTCATCCAAAAGAATCTCGGAAGTTGTCATCCGATCATTCATCCTCCGCTCTTCATCCGTAGACGTCGATGTGTGACGATGAGAAGCAATGGAGTTTAGGGTTTATTCATTAACATTCAATTTTTTAAGCACCCAAGTACTTGCCTTGTGTTTTCTCATTTTTATATGAGTCTAATATAAAATTTAAGATTATTACGATTATCATTAAATTAGCAAATTTTAATTAACTTTTAACTGTAAAATCTTTTCTAGAAATTTAATTTTGAAAAATAGTAGACATTGAATATACACTACGGCAGACTGAATTTGTTGGAATCGGTAGAAAAGTATACGTTGCACATCATTTTGTTATTAAAATCTACCATGAAGGTGTAACAAGAATAAAAAACTGCACAATCACAGTTTGTATGCATACCACTTTAATATAGAATGTAATATTGATATCCTAAATATAGATATTTAACTTAAAGTCAAATACAAAATTTATACAACACAACATTAGTAATATTACTTCATTACTATTGTTACAATTGTTAATATTTTGATATTGATTCATTTTTTATCAAAAATTATTTTAAGACTTTAATTGAAATGAAAGTTTGAAACATAATAAAAATCAATTATTTTTTTCTTTTATATAGATTAAATTTAAACAGTAATGACGTATATTATTTTTTGAAAATTGAATTCTGCAAAATAACTTTTCCAATTATTTATAGTATTTTTTCTCCTTTTTCTCCTTTCTTTTCTTTTTCTTGTCTAAGTTTTAAGGTTGAAAATAAATACAATACAATATAGTGCTAAATTGAAATTTTAACTTGAATCAAAAACATAATTAATTTGATCCAAGATGAATTGAAATGAAATACTTCTAAACATCCATTATAAAACACAATGCACATTACATTTATCATTTATAAATTCATTTCATTATTAAAAGTGTATCTTCATTGATTAATATTACTTCAGTACTAATTCATAAACAATTTTATTTAATTTATTTAACAAATTTATGCTATTTATCATCTATCTATATATTTATTTATTATATATTTGATTTAGCACATTTATTTACTAAATATAAAAAGTTTATCTTTTAAACTAACGAACATTTTTTGTAGCCCTATAATAATGATATTTTATCTATATTTGTTGCAAAATACAAATATACTATTATTTATATCGTTTTTATTTGTAAATAAACTCTAAATGTAAACAGTGAAAATTTTATTTTGAATTATTATAGGTTTCCTTCAACATAATATAATGTAATCTTTTAAATTTTTGATTAATATACAATAATGTATAAAATCTTATTACAATATATATATATATAATTAAAAAAATTAAAGAAAAAATTATGAAAATCAAAAAATTAATCAAATTAATAAATAATAATTTTTATTATAATTTTATTCTTATAATTGATAAGAAAACATATGAAATATTTTTTTTGAAGTGAATATTTTAAAATTTTAAGTTATTTATATAATTTTTAATGTTTATGTTGCACTTAACATATGATATTTTTTTTCATTCTCAATTCATATCAAATTATATTATCTTGCTTTGACATATGCCTTAGTTTTATGCTAATAAGTACTATCATATATTATTAAGGATTTTTTAAAAAGTTTTTGGAATAGTTTCTTGATTAAAAGATAAATAAATGAGTAAATATAATAAAATAAATTATTGACCAAGTTATTACAACCAAATTTTTATACTCAATTCTTCTAAAATAATTATTCTGATTTTTTGTCTATAAAGACATTTACAAATGATATCATCAACATATTCTAATATTATTCTAATTAAAAGATGTTATTTATTATATTTTCTTTTAAGAATTAACTTACTTAGAATATTTTGTGAATAATATTTTTAATAAAAGTACTGAGAATTATATATATATATATATATATATGCACTTTAGTCTTATAGAGCCACATCAATGAAGTTTTTCAAAGGAGAAAAAAGTGATATATTTAGCCTTCTTTTAGCAAGAGGAGTATGAGTAATATCTTTACAATACATTTTATATCATATTTTGTGAGCATTTATAATAATATATAAGAAGCTTTAAAATAATTAGTGGTTATAATATATCATTAAAGAGAATTGAAATTATTAGTATAGTTGATTGGATTTTAGTAAAGACAACCTTATCAAATATATATTATTTTATATCTAATGGCTTCTTAATATACTATAATAAAAAAATCTTAAATTATAAAAATTATTTTTAATAATATTTTTTTTAAAAATATATCTATATATATATATATATATAGATATAGATATATTGTAAAAAAATAAAAAAGAAAAAAAATAAAATGCCAAGGACATAAACCTCAAAGAACTAAAAGATCAATACATTCTTGTGTCAGTCAAAAAAGACTAGAAAATCACTCATAGATGATATAATATTAAACTAGAATGGCTATTGCTAAAGACAAGAAGACTAAAAAGTCTTGAAATAAGACTTAGAATTAAAAAGGTGTTGACAAAAGTGAAGAAGGCTTTAGTCTTGCCTACATATATATTCTTTAGTTAAGAGTTATGTGGCAAAATTCTAAAGGACCTCTAACATGTGTTGACTTTGTTAGAAACATGTCTTAACTTACAATGCAACTTATCTATATGTATGCCACATAGTTAGCTTGTTCTACAAGCTACCAATACATATAATATGTGGTTAACTTGTTGACTAAGTTTCTAAACTATCAATCAATTATAAACACGTGTAAAGTCAAAACCATATCTATAAAGATTCTAAGAATCTTTAAAGAATATATTATGAAATTAATTTATATTTATCTACTTCTATTTAATTATATAAGTAACTATTAGAATAAATGTGTATGTCTTTGATATTATGCCTCTTTTTAGAAATGAGTTCCACAAAGAGCAATCATCATCTTTCATCGATCTTGCTATTCTTCATCTTAATTTTGATAGATGTCATCAATGAAAAGCCTCAACCCTCTTTGTTGCATTTGTGAGATTCTTTTGTTGGCTCTTATATGTATTTATTAATAACATATCCGTTGTCATATAGCATGATTTACTATCTGGGAATATATTGGATATCTAGTTATAGAGAGTTTAGCTTAAAAATTTATATATATCTTATCTTAGCTTCCAAAACTCCTTTATTTTGCACAAAATTCAAAATAAAGCAAAATCTCTTCAAAACATATTTTTCCCGCAAAGGATTTTCTCTTCTCAAACTTTAAAAATTCATAATTCTTGATCTAATTTTTTCGTTTGTTTCAAACTTGTAGAATAGATAGAATTTATCCTTAAGTTTTATCTCAAAAAAATCGAGCACAAAATCACTTTCGATCTTTTGGCATCTAAGAAATCCTAGTAGATGCTCTAAATCCTAATTTATATGCATCCAAATACTATTTTCTTAATATTTCAAGAATCCAATACTCAAATTCCATCAAATTTATGTATAAAGTTTATTAACATGAATTTACACATTCTCCGAAATTTTAAGCAAAAACCTTATCAAATTGCTCAAGATATAGCTCAAGACACAACTACTAGTAAATCAGGTTACTTACTAACTTTAGATTACATGTGCTAACTTCAAAATCCAATAACTCTTTTATTTCAACTTAGAATCTAACAAGTAGTATATAAAAAGTATAGCCGCAAAAGTGCTCTCTCCAATTACAGTTGCTAATCCTCAATTGCCCTCTGTACGCGTGTGTTATGTCAAAAATAGTGACAATAGCTCCCAAATCAACACCTTAACTTTGAGTGCCTATATCTCCTTCATATAAATTCTAAATCATATAAGATTTGTACCAAAATCATAGCCAAAATCCTAAATTTATTGATCCTAGCCTTTAAAGCTCAAATAGCCCCAAAAAACTAACCCTAATCTCTAATATGGCCACGGGCAGCCTCTTCAAAGCCTATTTGTCATGATTTTTGACCAATACGAATAGAGATTTTTATCATCCATCTCCATTCATCTATATGGATGTCCTAAACTCTCTTTGCTACTAAAACCCTTCTTCAATCTTTTTTCTTATAAGATTTATATAATTTATGTTCTAAACACCAAATAAGAGAACCAAAATAAGTTTTCACAGGTCACCAATGTCTAACAAAGGTGACTCTAAATATTTAGAAGTTACTATCAATCAAAACCAATCTTAAAAGCCACTATCAAAAGAAATTAAAGTTATACAAACTCTATAGTAATCTTTTTAAACAACCTCTTTTCAAGGTAATAATCAAATTATATTCTACAATCAACTAAAATCTACTAACATGGCTCTCACCATATTACTTAGAAAATTATATATTAAGTACATAGTTACATTATTTTTATATAGTAGCCAAACCACAACACGACATCCACCCCCTCTAAACTTGTGCATCCCCCGGTATGCACCAAAAACAACCAAAGTTGTGATTGGCATCATATTACTTCCTCAATAATATCTTCTTCAAAATCTAATTCTTTTTCTTCATACCTAGATAGATCAAACTCTTCTTCAACATCTTCAAGGACTAGCTCTTCATCCCGTTGTTTAAAAAGTTTTATATATTTTTTTACAATTAGAATTTTGAATCTTCTTCCATCTAATTTTCTTAATGCATATGTAGCATTATCCAAAATATGTACAACCACATAAGGTCGAAACCAATGCTTAGATAACTTTTTAATAGTACTATGTTGGTTATCAAAGTTGTTGTCATATACCAAAATCTAATCACCTTCTTGAATATCTTTTGGCATCAATTTATATTGCTTATCAAATCTATCTTTATTCTTCAATTGCGACTCCCTCAGCCTTATAATTGACTTTTTCACATCTTTAGGTCTTCTCTTTAGTTGACGAATTTGAAGTACAAGAAGTTCTTCTTTGGATATT